GGTAAGGGAAAAAAAGACAATAAGGAAAGAAACATAGCCATAACACGAATCGGCGACGGAACAACCCCGTATACATTAACCTACGGGACCATGAATGCAAAGTGCTTATTTGAATGAGATCAAAGGATGCCCGAAGTTTTTATAGCCGCATCCCACAATTCGTATGTCTGTCGTGCTCCTAATTTGGTATACGAGAATAGTAACAAGTGTGTGCGAGATATGGGCTAGAAACTGCAGATGAGAGCTAATCAGGTCCATGAGACAGGAGTTAAGCAAAGATTTGTAGGAGGGAAAAATGCGCGATCTCAAGCATCTAAAGTCCGTCACATGATAAACATGTGACTGTGGCTGGGCAATATTATATACCCACTCACAGGATCTCGCCCCCGTAAACGAGGTAATCAGACAGAGCCTTCTTATATAATGATGGCAGAACAAGAAGAAAGGAGAGAAAGAAAAAAGCTCAAAAAGAGACAGATTATGGCGGATAGGAAGAGAAAAATGGGGGACAAAATTTTGGAGCAATAGACTGACACGAGTGTTGCCAAGGAGTCTAGGAGCACCTAAGTAGACAGGAGAAGCCTCCTAAAGGGGCATGCTAATTAGAGTTCAAAAATTGCCGGGGTGGTTGCTTGATAGCCAATAAATGTCAGTTTGGAAAGGGAGCCCTGTTGACGATTATGATACCCATAAAATATACGACAAGCATAGGCAAGGAGGCCAAATCATATCTATAGCAGAGTTATTTCGAAAGCCGGAGGTTTTGTAATGTTCACAAATCATAGCAAGCAAGAGTGGGAAATTTTTTAAAGAAATACTAATCCGGTCCCACATGGAAATGCTGGAATAGAAATCCAGTTCAATTAAAAGAATGAGCAGAAAAGAGGTAATACCCAAATTCAAACGCAAATATTGAGAACAACACAAGTCGATATTTACATCTTAAATCATTCAAGCGAAGAAGGAAGAAGAGTGCCAGAAGGGCCTTCCTAGATCCAACCACTGCATCTCGCCCATTAATGACCCTCGGCCTGCTGGTCCTACTGTTTCTGTCCAAAATAACGCAGTATAATATCTAAACTCGTTCCTGAAGAGTGTCTTCCAGAGGCTGGCCGCATGAGACTCTCTCAATGCGCGAAGAGTAGACTCTCGTCAGGACCGAGCATAATTCTCGTCAAAAATATGAAGCGATAGCCCTCAGAAGGACTAGGCTCGGAAGGACAAGAAGGCCGCTAGTGACAAGTCCAAAGGTAGTGAGAGTACTAAGGGAAAGCAATAGCTGATCGTTTAAGGCCAGCCTTAACCGCTAATCCAATGCGTATACTCGATTTGACCCGAGTCCGAAATGTGGTTCAGGGAACAAAGAGAGACAATCATGCACATTATTTACCGTATTATAAAAGCATCCCAATCACTCCTAAGAACGGAGAATGAGTTGTTGCCTCGCGACGGCTATCGACGGCTGGGCTGGTGCAGGTCCTTGTTCAGACGCACTGTGAGAAGACTTATTCTCAAAGACTAACGCTATAAGGAGTGCTTCCGAACGCACACGTCTCGAAAAAGCGCCGGATGGGTAACGGCCAGTGATAGCGAGACTTCCATAGCCTACCAGGCGAGACCCTCAACATATATGTGACAACATCAATAAGCCTACCAGACCGATTGAAGGCCCCCACCACTCAAAGACTCTAAAAATGGAGAGGTAAACAAGGTACCGCCTCTGTTAGGAAAGTGACAGAATCAAATCCGCTGGAGAACCAAGCAGGTTGTAGAGAGAAAAGACCATGTACGACCCCAACAAAGACCGAATGCGAGAAAGGAAGAGCCATACTTATCCACCTGCTTGAGAGAGGACGTTTGCGACGCCTGGGAAAAATAGTAAGGAACTACACACTACCTACGCTGTTGGAGCGACCAACACCAAGTAGGCCGAGAAGACCGAGAGCCAAGATGTGACGTCAGGCGGTTGTGAAACAGAGTTTCGTGGGCCGGTCCGAAAGTGACCAGCCACTTCCAGTCAGGTGTTGGACAAATTAGGGGCGTAGTATAACACTCAAACCTCCAATGCCGATGAGCAGCTTCGGCAACACACAAATGAGGTGGGAGAGTTCAAATGACGTGTATATATAGACAATGTGTATGAGACAGTGAGAGTCATACAATAAGGCACTGGATGTTATTATTCTTGTAGTGAATAGCGCCATGCCGAAAGGAGACATGCACGAGCCTAATAAGACATACATGTCTCTGCAAGCGCTGGAGGTTCATAGATGACAGTCGCGGCCAAACGCATATATAAAGAATATGCAACGACACAGAGAAGCACGCCAACGCCAGTGGGTATGCCTATTAGGAATCTTTGCTATACTCCAAGTATTCAGGGGGGCGGTCACAACGGAAGGGATAAGGTCGTCCATACTGATGGAGGTTATTTGGAGGATTGCCCGCATAGAGTTGACCTTCCCAAACGAATGAAACTAGAGCTGCAATCTAGAATGTGCCTGGCCTTATAATTTGAGACGAATGTTATTTACGCAACCCCGTTCCGAGCGCATATAGAATTTTCGAGAATAATAATATGTGCGATTCAAGCCAGGACACAACGGTGAATTTGCTAGGGCTAGACACACACACACACTAAGCGCTTCTAATGATGGCGCGATGTTTAGTTGTGGCGACGTGTGTATATATATATGTGTATATAGAGGAGAAAAGACCAACGCATTGCCCTGTAATAAGGCACACGGACAATGATTGTCGTGGTCAGCCTTTGCTCTAAAATGTGAATACCTACGATCCCAAAACTTATTGCACACGTGTATAGCATATATTAGAACAGCTAGAGAGACGAGGCCATGCGACGCCGAAGGCTAAATAGAGTCAGAGTATATTGCGTTGCGTACCTGTGTCGAGTTATGGAACGGTTTCTTCATTTGTAAAGTAAACAGGCCTAGGCGTTTAAGTAGCAGAGAGAGAAAGAGAAGATTACATGTTAACGTTGGATCCCGTCAGACAAAGGTTAACTATTCACACAGATACAGACGCTATCTGGGTTCTCTTTTCGTGAGTCAGTGACAAAACATATTATCTTATCAACTATATGTTCCTTATCTTAAATAACATTTTTTTTTAGCGAAATGGTTTCTGCATGTATTTTCTCCTTTTGCACACTATTTATTTATGTCTCTTGATCTGTTTCTTTAGTCGAGTGAACAATAAGATTCCAAATAACTTGAGATGTTATGGTGTAAGAAATAAGTTGTACACGGAGATAAGAAAACTTGGTGCGGAGTACTTTCTTGGACAGGTGGCTCCGCTGTTTTGCAAGAACATTACCGCGTGGTCTGACTTGTCGTAAACGCTGGTGCAAGCATGGATATCACTTTGTAATGGGAAGGCAGACGACGGTGAGTTGCCAAATTTTATCGTTGTGAACAGACCGCTGCTGCCTATATTCCGCAATTTTTGCTTATCCCCTGTTAGTATGATGGGAGGTTTTTCTTCATCGACAGCCGTTAAAGGTACGCAACTGAAAGAGGACACCGCTAAAAGTTTCGAAAAAGCTGGTAACAAGCAACAAAATCTTGTAACACCATAGATGCAGACTACGGAGGAGTAAAATGGCAAGCGCAATCAGTATTGCAGGGACTGGGTTCATCACAAACCTGTAGGTCACCTTTTAATGTATCATACAAGACACAACAGAGCTTCAAAACCGCGCACCGACGTCTATATTGACGGGTATCTTATTTTCATCAAGAATACAACGAGCTTCACGCCGTTTATCGGAACGCTAAGTAATACTCGCAGCTCACAGTATGACTTCCTCACTCACGCCGATCGCTTTCATGCAGCTCTTCTTTCCATCAAATAGAAGATTGAGGTGTTTTTTCGATGGTGGATTTTTTGTTACGCGGGGACGTTTTCTGCTTCATCAGAGATCTGCGACGAACTTTGTCCATTCTTCCTGTTCCGCTCGAAATACACCGGGCATCCACTGAACTCTGATACGAGGGAATACGAACACAGATATTATTAAACTGTTTATGATATTGAACACATTACTCTCAACATTTTTAAAGTAAACAAATGGGCCTAGGGTTGCGCTTTGGTTAAGTAGACATTCGTTACATTTGCACAACAGGGCCAATTCGGACCCGATTCGGGGTCAATATCGCGACAAGAGATTAGGTCTCGAATTTACTCAGAACAGTATAATGGATAAGGGGAAACAACTAGCAAGAGTCGTGTCTGCGGCCCCTTCGACAAGATTTGAGGTAATTGGCCATCTGAAACGCTATAGATTGAAACTTTGATAGGTCTGTATCTGAAGCAAACCCGTTGCTCTCGGTTGAGTCACATCTTATCTTAGCCAGTAATTTGAAGTTCAGAGCCCAAGTAGTATGTAGGCGCGAAGATTCTCTCAGAAGCATCAGATGAGCTAGTTTCGTTACTTCGAACCTGTGTCGCAATAACCACATCATATCCTACCTCTCCAACATACAGAGTGTCCAGTAATTGTAAGCCCACATCGCGGGCTGCACCAGCTTCCAGACTTTATTTGAACTTCTCATAATCATTGGTGAGACCCAGAACCCGGAAGATATTAATGATGGATTGAGCACGATGAATTTTTTCTCGGCCTCAATCGAGTTGGCTTAAAGCTAAGCCCAAGGGAACTCTCGCTGCTGAGCAGGACCTATCTTCCTGATACCATTTATCTCATTCAAAAAGATCCGAATGTTGAATACCTTAAAACCCAGAGAAACATCTGACATGTTTCAGGTTAATTATTCCAGAATCCAAACAGTATTATCTTCAAGGTGCTAACCAGGGACAAGGATTATCAGGTTATCCTCTAAAAACAATTTCCCTAGTTAATAAAATGCATCTTGAACTAAGAAATATATTCAAGAAGCTAATAAGGGCATCTTGACTAATTTCAGTAACTGGGTTCACTGCTAATCCTTACACTAGATGGTATCCATCCATCACATGACCTAGAAAGTGACGGGCCTATGTATTGGCCATGCCTTCACTGGTTTTTAATTTCTTATTCTAAACATATGGAACAATATTTGATAACTTGGTACAAATTTTGAAATAAGTAAACGAACCGCCCAAGCTTTAATCAAATTTAGAGCGGCCCCCTTATTCTAGTTCTGCCCCTGGACCTAGCGTTTCCCACAGCACAGAAACACAGTTGTCACACCAAACCTGAAGTATACATGGTTTTATCCAAGATAATTTGGCTTCGCAGTCTTTCAATTCAAATTGTCTCCAGTACCTGAACACAGTGAGTTCAATTTGAGAAGTCCCTACTACCCTGGCGAATTCTATCTGGAATTATTGATCCAAAATGCAGTCGAACATTCGAAAACACTGATTATTGAGAGACGAACATTTACCATATCGTTCCCATATTGTAGTGAGATTCTGACAGTAGGCCACTTGAAAGCATTATGATTTGTAATAAGTTAGAACTTAGATATATTTATGTTTAACTAGGACTATCCCACCCAACCATGTTATGGGTGGGTAGCAAAGTCATTGTTTCCACTATGATCTACATTATAAGTAACTTGGTTCAGCTGTTTGATCTGGTCATATTTTCATCTCAACTTGCCTAGAAAAGACCAAAGCTTTCTATGGATCAAAGTAAATGCGTAATACTATCAAACAACAACAAACACGAGAATAATCAGCAATCAATGCCAAAAATCATCTTATACTGTCAGAGACACAAAACCAAAAATACAGCACAAGAATTTCAAAGCCTAAACAAGGGTAAATTTCATAGCAGCAGTAAAGAACTTCGTATTTACCATCTGTTCAATAATAGGCCCGGCATCAAGTTCTTGCGTCACAAAATGAGTTGTTGCACCAATAAGCTTCACCCCTGCATCAAAAGCCTGCGAACATAATCTAGCAAATTAAACATGTATAGACAGTTAGGATGAAAGTATAGATATACTTTAAAGGGCAACAAACACAGAGAATGATGAGAAGTGTGAACCTGTTTAGATGGTTTTCCACCTTTGAATGATGGCAAAAGGCCATGATGAATGTTAATTATATCCTTTCCATAGCTCTTTAAAAAATCACCGGATAATATCTGCGTAAATAAAAACAATTCTTAAGTTCTTAACTGCTCGTTTAACCCTTTTGCAACAAATAGTCCACCTTCTCTATTCTTTTGTTTCTTCCTTAATTTAAAGAGTTTTTTCTTTATAACATATAGTAATCGTCGAGTAAAAGCTACAAGAGCTGACGCTTTAGGTTTTGATGGATTTCAATCTAACTATTTTGACTGTTATAATGAAAGGACAGGAGAAAGCGTGTTCCTCCAGTCCTCACTACAAACTTCAATAGCCAACCATTTATAAAGTTCGAAATGATAATTGAATGGTGAAAATGTAACCTGATTTACCTGCATGTACCTGGCAAGAACTAAAAAATCAGTGTTTTGAACCAACTCCAGTATCTCCCCTTCTCCTTTGTCATCCTTGGTTGTATTTAGATAATGATAAGGTATACCGTGTCTTTCTAGAAAACGATGCACATGGGTGTTTGGACCTCTATGATGATTACTGAGGAAAAACAGTGCTACAACCACAGTCAAAGTTCTGAGAACCAAAATTATGAACTAAAACAGTGAAAAACCTCCAAAAAGCTCACCTTATTACACAAGTTATATCTACTGGAAGCCTGCCTTCCTGCCACTGATGTAATAAATCTACCAGGCAATGATCCTGCAGCAGCATAAGGACGGTTTTATAATGCACAACACCATAATCTAAAACAGCGTGGGTGTATGACCATCAGTGTGTACACCTATAAGAAACTTTACAAATGGCAACACCTGCTTTGAGACAAGGACACCAATCTTATATTTGGGGTCGAGATTTGGAACCCGGACAACAGATCTGATTGCAGAGTATGTTAACGACAGCTTATGGAAATCCTCATCCATTTCCTTTCTTGGCCATTTAAGAGGATCGAAAATAAATTCGCTGCCAAGTTGCAGAGAGTTAGATTTTTTATCTGTGCACCTGGTTCTATTAAACTAAAGAATACGTGCAATTTGAAATATTGCATCAAACAATAGCAACCTGTCAAACCGACATGCTCCATTGCTCTAAACTGATTCCTGTAAAAAACTGACCTTGGAGTACTTTAATCTTTATTTCCTTTTAACTAGCAAACCCCATTGATTGAATTACTAGATTTCGCATCATAAAAATATCACACAGTAGCAATAACAATCATATAAAATTCACTCCAAGCCTTGACATTTGTCATCAATCCATCCAAACAGAACCAACCAGAAAAATTCATACTTTTTATAAAAAAAAAATAAATAAATTTGACTTTGCAAATGAAATCTGAGGAATTTGGCAAATGAATCAAGCAGAAATGGCAAAAGGGTACCTTCTGGAATAAAAAACGTGCTTGTTTTCGGGCACGAAGACGCTGGCGCCGAGAATGTTTCCGCCTTTAGAAGCAATGCAATCCGATAGCTTGGCCACAATCCCAACTGCATCCTATTCCAATAAAACCCATTTTCAATCCCTTATAACCGGTTTGGTTTCCCAGAAAATAGAAAGAGAGAAAATGAAAGCAAATGCAAATCTGCACGCAGAGAGACAGAGAGAGAGAGACAGAGAGAGGACTTACGGGGCAATGGAAGACGTGGATTCCGTAGGAGAGAGGGGGGAGAGAAGATGAAGAGTCGAGGGGCTCCCCTGGGAATCTCAAGGACTTGAAGGGCCTCTTGGCAAGTCCGAAAAGCTTGGGGAGGCTTGGAGATGCCCTTTGGACGAGGTTCATTTTCTATCTCTCTCTGTCCGTCTGTGCTGCTAATGGTGGCGCGCCTATCCTTTTTCCTCCTCCACAAACTGGAGCTTAAGTCCGTACTCTGATGTCGTTTTTGTTTACAAGTGACTCGCTACCAAGTAGACCTGATATTTTTAACCGACCCGTTAAAATTAGTATTCAGGTGGATGATAAATGGGTCGGTGGTTAAGGCGTCAACCCGTTAATCACCCGTTAAATAACGAGTCATTTTGAGTGAACCCGCAAAACCCGTTATTGAGGACTTTTGTGTAATTTTAACAGTCCTAGTAGAAAACCCTCAGGGCTCAAGTTCCTCACATTTCTCTCGCACCGTCGCATGACTTTGCTATTTTTTTCTCTCTCTAACCTCTCTGTAATCTCTAAAAGTACTAAGAGATCACTCATCAGCCATTGATGTGCTCCTTCCCTTCCGAATCCACCACTCTCTCTCTCTGGTAAGCTCTGATTCTCTTCCATCTCTTCTTTCATGCGTAACAATATACAGATTGAAATTTGTTCATGGGTTGTGCTCATTCCCTTCCACCTTTGGTTTTTTTTTTTTTATAAATTTTTTGGTTGTGTTTTGGATAATGGGTTTTGCTTTTTGTTCATGGGTTTTGTGTAAAATTTGTTCATTTCTATATTCTCCGATTAAAATTTCCATTTTTGGGTAATTTGGAGCTGTTAATTTACCTATTTCTTCACACCGATTAAAAGTAATGGATGACGAAAGAAGAAATGTTTTGCGATTCGTTAAGGCTCATGAAGTTAAAAGTACTGAGTTTGCGATTCGTTAATGCCGAGGTGTGTAATTCGTTAAGGCTCATGTTTTGTGATTCCGAGGTTCATGAAGTTAAAAGTATTGAATTTTATTTGTTTTGGTTGGTTTTTGGATTGGAATTGGGTTGTTGTTGTTGTTTGGTTTTACTGAAATTGATACGAACAACATAAGTTACTACTCAGTAAGTTTCTATATCCTCCCTGTATAGGCATCTTGCTCGTACTTACATATTTCCATCTATTTTTCTCCTAGCCTTCGAAATGTTTCCCTTTTAGGTGCTTCTTATATTCTATATTCATAGGTACTTACTGCTTAGTAATTAATTTGATTGAGACTTGAGACCCTGTAGTGAATTACCCAGACTTGAGACTCTGGAGTTTGGGTTGGATGTTTATTGTTTTCCTCTATTACATTGAACTTTAGTAATTAATTTGAAGTCATACTTTATATTTACTGTCTTGACATTGCATAGTTTCCCTCTCACAAATAGGTAGCTTTTTCTCATTTCGGAATAGATCATTTGAATACTTTAGTGACACAAACTGATCCTTACAGCAAGTAAGAGATGAGCGATTGGCAGGAAGGACTTCGCCTAACAGGCTTGATATTTTGCCCCTTCTAGCTTTAAGTAGGGAAGAAGATGACTTTACAAGGGAGTCTTGACCAACTACTGTTGCCTACAAGTACAAATAACTAAGAAGCAGATCGCAGTAATACATTATGAAACTAATGACATATCATTTATCGGTGTCTATCTGTGGAGGTACTGATAGTGATAAAGGATTCACCTTAGGTAGAAACTAGTCCAGATCTAATTTTTTCCTGTGGTTCCTCAATTTTCAACTCATATATTTTGACTCATAATGATGTTTCCTTCTCTCTTTTGTTTTTAAATTATGTCTCTTGTTTTTGCATTGATTAGGTCTTCGGTTAAATCTTTAGTTTCGAGGCTGTTGTCGATTGTCGACGAGAGAAAGAACAGGCATTGATTAGGTCTTAGTTAGTTTTCGTCCCTGTAACTACATCAATTGATAGCATGCCATTTCCTTAAAGACATTAATGTTTTGTTTTGTTTTTTGCTCTCTTTGAGTATAGTAGTTTTTTCTTTTCTGCTCTCAAATTGCATCTCAGCTTGTTAGTAGTATTAGTCTTGATTAAGCATGGTATGTATTTTAACTTGTTCTTTTAAAGATATTTTTCTGTGATGTTTAATGATTAGGATGGATTGTGCAAGATTAATACTTACTTTTATTGTGACAAGCTTCTTACTAATGGAAATTTCACTTAAGGTGAATGTTGAAGGCAAAAAAGGAGCAGAGGATGTAATGCAAGAAGAAGGTTGGCAAAAAAGCAGCAGAGAACGCAATCATGCAATGCAAGAAGAAATAGAGCCACTGTAGACTTTGTAGTGAGACATTGATTGAGACTTGAGAAAGAGAATTACTGTGTTTTACTTAAACAATTTCCCAATCTACGTTAAGATTTGGAGACGCATGTAATTGATAGAAAGTCGAATTCTACTATATAAAAACACAATCATGCTAGTGTCAGGTTAATTTAATCAGTTGTTATCCATTTTATTGGCCTATTAATCAACTTGATGTTCAAAATGTGTTTCTACATGGTTCTTTGGGTGAGGAAGTTTATATGTGGCAACCTCCTGGTTTATTGATCAGCAACGCTCGTTGCAACCATGGGTCGTGGTTGTAATTGTTTCATTTAGTTCTTGAGGCAAAGTAGACATGACAGACATAAACATGTTTTGTGACATTCCCAATCTTGTATTCTTGTGCATCGTAATGAAGCTCTAGGTGTTCATCAAATCACTCCAGGACTTGCATATGCACACAAACCAAATGAAGGAAGGAGGTGGCTAGCACAAGCACTAGAATGCTAAAAATGGGTGTAATTGATTTGGATGAAATGTGTAAAAAAAAAAAAAAAAAAAAAAAGAAAGGTTAATGGGTGAAACGGGTTGAAACGGGTTGGGTTCGGGTGACCCGTTAGCTTAACGGGTTAGGTTGAACCCGATCTAAACCCAATAAACTCGACCCGTTTACGGGTCTAGTACCAAGTACCAATTGCCATTTCCCAAAAAGACTTAAAAGAGGAATTTAACTAATTATTTTTGGACAATTGTTGAATTGCTTAAACCACTTAGTACTACGGTCTAATAATATTCCTCTTCATTTGTAAGTGAGAGATCTTAGATTCGATTTTCGCCAACCACATTATTATGGCTTATGGCTAGCCCATTGTAAGGCTTGACTCACACCATTATCCTGTAGTATAGATAATATTGTTTGTTAAAAAAAATGTTGAATTACTTTAGTGGTTATAGTCTTTCTTTTCAATCCACTGTATTTTAGATTTTTTGAAAATGTTATGTATTTTTCTCTATTTGTAAATAAGATGTCTAAATTCGACACTTGTGAATGACACATTTAATACCAAAATATAAACAGTTTTCACCCCAAAGTGTAAGTATATCATTGTATTAAAACATTGACGGTTTCCATATAGCCTAAACTTAACCAATCCAAACTAATTATGGTTTGATTCTATTTGGACTTATATTACCTTCTTTTTTTCTCGAAACTAAAACCATTTAATTTTGCCACTTAGTACTACGATCTAATGATATTCATTTTCACTTATTGATAGCTCATTGTAAGGCTTAGCCTATTTCTAGACCCTCTCTTAGTGTAGATAGTATCATTTGTAAAAAAAAAAAAGGGCTTGATTTTTATTAGTTTGGTTTGGTTTGGCTGATTTGAAAAGTTGGACCGGTTTAATACTTATCCCTAATATTATGCATTGTGTTTGTTTGGTTACATACAATGCTTGATTTATCCTAATCGTTACTCACTTTTATTCACACTCCCTGCCACTTAAGCAATACCAATAGCTTAGTATTAGACACATTTAGAGTTATGGAATGATGAGGGTTGGTGCGGTTGATTCCAATCGAGTGATCAATATGTTGAGGAGTTCGTTGATTGTTGTTGACATGTTCTTTTAGGGTGCTTTTCGAGACCTTGTAGGGTTTTGGAGGTTGTTAGGGTATGTTTACTTAACAAAATTGAAAAAAAAAATGAAGAAATTGAGAATTTTTTTACCTTTTTTGTTTTTTGGACAAACGATGTTATCTACAATAAACGGGTGGGGAGTGGGCTTAACCTCACAATGGGTTAGCAATAATATGGTTCAAATTTGCATTTGACGAAAATTGAATCTAGGACCTCTCACTTACAAGTGAAGAGGAATACCACTAGATCGTAGTACTGAGTGATAAGAAAGCAGGGAAACTTACGCTTTTCTGATTTCATATGCGTAAATAAATATGGGAAAAAGTTAAGGAGTGCAATGATTCTCATACTCATATTTTAGTAAACACAAAACTCAAGGATAAAAATGATTCAAATTCCTATTCTTGTAAATAAGCATGCCGTTAGCGCAAAACTCTTTTAGGTATTTGAAGGATGTTGAGCGGCAAGTAGGCCTGGCAAACGGGTCGTGTCAGTCGTGTTCGTGTCGTTTTCGTGTAACACCTGTTATCTTAACGGGTCGTGTCGTGTCACACCCGTTATCTTAACGGGTCCTTAACAGGTCGTGTCACTTTACCCAACGGGTAAAGTGACCCGACCCGTTATGACCCGTTAAGAAAAATATATTTTTTTTCTTAAATTTGCACATACCACACATTGCCACATAAATATTACTTCAAAACATTAAAACACATTTGTCGTTTAAGTATTACATCTACACTCGAAAATAAGAGCCTAATAAAAAAATAATACATACACTACTAATCTATTACAAATTTTAAATGTGCAAGGATATGCAAAATGAAACAGTTTTTGTTTTCAAGGTTGTGAAATCTTTCTCAAAAGTTTAAACCTCAATTTACAAAATCCTCGATTTACATCGATCATCATGAAATTGCATTGGAACTTTGGTTTGATCTATTACCTTCAAGAGTTATGTTGATGATGTTTTCAGTAAGGTTTTCCACGTCATAACTATCTTCTGCATAAACTAAGCATAGAAAAACCAAACATTAAAAATCATTCAAATTATGAGAAGTTTACCAAAATAATTATGAAAAAAAATAAAACAATAGTACTATACCATACTTTTATTAAGTATAAACATAAGATTTTGTGGTATCCACTAGTGTAAATATTTTAAATTGAAGATCGAATTCAATCATTGTATTCATATAAGGTCAAGGAGTGTAGTTGTAAAAAATCATCAAAATCGGAGTTAAATTAACCGTTAAATCGTGATTTTTTGTTTATAACCGTCGAAAAGTTTTGTCCCGTTACGTGCTCTCTGAATGTTTTTTTTTGCAATTTTTGGCATATGCGATCTCGAAATATATACAAACATGTTTGACGGTTGGATCATTGAAACTAGTTTCGTAGAATGAGTATCCCATCAAAACAATAGATTCACTAATACTTAAAGAGTTTATTCATACTTTTATTAAGTATAACATAAGATTTTGTGGTTTCCACTAGTGTTAATATTTTAAATTGAAGATCGAATTCAATCATTGTATTCATATAGGGTCAAGGAGTGTAGTTGTAAAAAATCATCAAAATCGGAGTTAAAATGACCGTTTAAATCGTGATTTTTTCGTTTATAACCGTCGAAAAGTTTTGTGCCGTTACTTGATCTCTGAATGTTTGTTTTTTGCAATTTTTGGCGTATGCAATCTCGAAGTATATATAAACATGTTTGACGGTTGGATCATTGAAACTAGTTCGTAGAATGAGTATCCCATCAAAACAATAGATTCACTAATACTTAATAGTTTATTCATACTTTTATTAAGTATAATATAAGATTTTGTGGTATCCACTAGTGTAAATATTTTAAATTGAAGATCGAATTCAATCATTGTATTCATATAGGGTCAATTAGTGTGGTTGTAAAAAAACATCAAAATCGGAGTTAAAATGACCGTTAAATCGTGATTTTTCGTTTATAACCGTCGAAAAGTTTTGTCCCGTTACTTGATCTCTGAATGTTTTTTTTTTGTAATTTTTGACGTATGCGATCTCGAAGTATATACAAACATGTTTGACGATTGGATCTTTGAAACTAGTTTCGTAGAATAAGTATCCCATCAAAATAATAGATTCACTAATACGTAATAGTTTATTCTTACTTTTATTAAGTATAATATAAGATTTTGTGGTTTCCACTAGTGTAAATATTTTAAATTGAAGATCGAATTCAATCATTGTATTCATATAAGGTCAAGGAGTGTAGCTGCAAAAAATCATCAAAATCAGAGTTAAAATGACCGTTAAATCGTGATTTTTCTTTTTATAACTGTCGAAAAGTTTTGTCCCTTTAATTGATCTCTGAATGTTTGTTTTTTGTAATTTTTGACGTATGAGATCTCGAAGTATATACAAACATGTTTGACGGTTGGATCTTTGAAATTAGTTTCGTAGAATGAGTATCCCATCAAAACAATAGATTCACTAATACTTAATAGTTTATTCATACTTTTATTAAGTATAACATAAGATTTTGTGGTATCCACTAGTGTAAATATTTTAAATTGAAGATCGAATTCAATCATTGTATTCATATAAGGTCAAGGAGTGTAGTTGTAAAAAATCATCAAAATCGGAGTTAAATTAACCGTTAAATCGTGATTTTTCGTTTATAACCGTCGAAAAGTTTTATCCCGTTACGTGCTCTCTGAATGTTTGTTTTTTGCAATGTTTGGCATATGTGATCTCGAAATATATACAAACATGTTTGACGGTTGGATCATTGAAACTAGTTTCGTAGAATGAGTATCCCATCAAAACAATAGATTCACTAATACTTAAGAGTTTATTCATACTTTTATTAAGTATATAACATAAGATTTTGTGGTTTCCACTAGTGTAAATATTTTAAATTGAAGATCGAATTCAATCATTTGTATTCATATATAGGGTCAAGGAGTGTAGTTGTAAAAAAATCATCAAAATCGGAGTTAAAATGACCGTTAAATCGTGATTTTTCGTTTATAACCGTCGAAAAGTTTTGTCCCGTTACTTGATCTCTGAATGTTTGTTTTTTGCAATTTTTGGCGTATGCAATCTCGAAGTATATATAAACATGTTTGACGGTTGGATCATTGAAACTAGTTTCGTAGAATGAGTATCCCATCAAAACAATAGATTCACTAGTACTTAATAGTTTATTCATACTTTTATTAAGTATAATAATATAAGATTTTGTGGTATCCACTAGTGTAAATATTTTAAATTGAAGATCGAATTCAATCATTGTATTCATATAGGGTCAAGGAGTGTGGTTGTAAAAAAAACATCAAAATCGGAGTTAAAATGACCGTTAAATCGTGATTTTTCGTTTATAACCGTCGAAAAGTTTTGTCCCGTTACTTGATCTCTGAATGTTTGTTTTTTGTAATTTTTGACGTATGCGATCTTGAAGTATATACAAACATGTTTGACGGTTGGATCTTTGAAACTAGTTTCGTAGAATGAGTATCCCATCAAAACAATAGATTCACTAATACGTAATAGTTTATTCATACTTTTATTAAGTATAATATAAGATTTTATGGTTTCCACTAGTGTAAATAT